TTATTTATTTATTTATTTATTGTATTTTGAAAAAAAAAACAGCTCTCCATATCATTCAGCCCCTGTGTGTTTCCCCAGTCAGCTTGTCACGCCCACTCCCACCAGTTTCAGTTTGTTCCTTCACCAGGTGTTTGTGATTATGTTAATTGAGCCATTATTTATATTCTGGGGTTTTCAGTTGATTCCTCAGCGGATCGTTACACTGGCTCATTTCTTAAGTCTCGGTTGCTCCCAGTTTGCGCTCTGTGTTCATCCAAGTTCTATGTCAGGTTAGGGTTTTCCAGTCACTTCGGTCTTTTAATTTGATTACTCTAAATAAAGTGTTTTATTTTGTCTGAGGTCCTTTTGTCTGCCTGCACTCTTGGGTTCAATCATACWGGCTGATGCTGACCGTAGCTGGAAGATACAAGTCAGATATTTTGAAAATTAGCAAGTGTAGAAACCTCAACCAAAGTAATAATAATAATAATTCATGGCAGCAAAAAGGTTCCAATTTCATCTGCCAGCTTTTCTTAGTGGAGTTTGCATTATCCCCCCTTGCACATGTGGATTTTCTCCAAGCACTCTGATTTCCTCCTACAGATTATAAACCTGCATAGGATTATTGGTAACTTTAAATTATTCCAAGTTGTAAGTGAGTTTGACTCTGTTTGGCCCTGTGATGGACTTGCAACCTGCACAGTGACTGCTGGAGGTAGGCACCAGCTTCTTCAAGAAATAAGTAAAGGAAAAATACTGTCTTATTTTATTTTTTGGAAAAGATTAAAACTGACTAATTTATCATCATTTATAACACTAGTTTTAGTGGGTGGGGGGTATAAAACACAGCATTTCAGTATAAATACCTCATACTAACTGTGAGCATGATGAAAGAGGATTAATTTTAGGCTTGTTTAACTTCAAATCAATGATTTAACAATAACTCCTCTGTAATCTTAAATCAAAAATGAAACTGTCAGACAGTTGAAGTTTGGCTGAATGCACATCATGCAACACAATAATAATACAAAGTGCTGAAGCAAATCTACTATAAAATGACTGGAAAAAAGCTGACTGCTGATTCATTCTAACCCCTTGCAATTCTGAACAAGATCAAGCGAGAATAGAAAATGAATAGATGCCTGGAGTTTCAGTGTGTTGGTTAGAGGGCCACCAAGCACCACAGATCAAAACCCAAATGAAAAAAAAAGAAAACCAATTTAAAATACTTTTAGATGAAACTGTGACATAAAAACCTTGAAYAACTTTGTCCTGAAGGTGTTCAAAGATTTTATTCAAGCTCTGAGTCAAGTTTTGAAACAAACACCTTCATTCACACAAACACATCTATTCTAAAGTTGTAGTTAAACTCTGACTGACCTGTCCAGAGTTGGATGAGTCGCACATGGCAGTTGTGTACTGCCTGTCAAGCTCGGGYGCATTGTCATTGAGGTCTAATGTCTCTATTGCAACCAGAACTCTGGACACCTGGCCGGGATTATCTGGAAGAGGGAGAAAACAAACATATCACACTACTGCCAAGCCAATAAAAAAAAGCACAATATTAGTTAGATTTTCTATTACGCACAAAAACACAAACATTATACTCATGTGGGTGCAAGTTTCCATTCCATTAATTTGGTCCGATTGTCCTCATAGGCACAATAAAGCATTTTAGTCTTTGTCCAAAAACTTCAACAACTCCCAGATCCCATTAGCCAGCCCATAATTGGCTAAAGAAAGTGTAGTACATTTGGTATCATTTGGCCCRCGTTGCAACTCACAGGATCCCAGCTGGAGTACAGCTGATGCTTCCGTAGCAGTCAAATTTTTCCACATCAAAGTCTTTAGTTCTCAGCCAAAAAGCATCTCACAGTGTCAAGTGTTTTTTTTTTTTTTAAGAAAGAGAGAGATCAGGCATGGAGGAGGATGTAGGGAACAGTCAATCTCCATGAAGTCACACTGAGTGCAGTTTAAATGGATTGGCATAGGCTCTTTCACAACGCATTCACTTTGCTATACACAYACTTGAACATAAAGTTCTCACAGCCAGGCGTTAAACGCATGAAGTCACACTCTGAGCCTGCTCAGCATTCACCCATTTTACATTTTCGGCTGCTGTGGCACAATCCGAATTCAGTGGCACACATCATGTGTCCAGGCAGACAATCCTGCAACACGGCGGACCACACTTTCTATAAAAGGAGACACACACACACGTACATTTACATGCGCATTTACATACCCTCCCACACCATGTTTTCAGAGATGGAGTGGTAAAGCAGTGTCATGGATGACAGCAACTGCTTCCCATCACTGGAAAARCTAAAAATGAGCTCTCTTGCTGTAATGCCACTGGGTGAGCAGTCCTGCCCATGGCCATGGCAGAGCTCCCACTGTGTTTGTCAACACAACCTCCAACAGTCTGTTTATTAGATAGAGCTCATTATTCAAGACAGGCACTTGCTGTGCTGCTGCTTCGGTCCTACCAACACTTTGCCTGCCACAAGGAGCCCTGAGTAGATTTTGAGCAACGATTAACTTTGTCCAGGACAGGGTTTGGCAGGAAAAAACAACTTCCCTTCATTACGCACAGTGGGTGATCTTCACCAACAATACTTTTCACTTTAAAAAATTGCATTTTTGGGGGGGAATCTTAATGAATTGTCACTTGTTCAAAAAAATATGCTCCTGGAGCTTAGCCAGGATTAAACAACAAGCTGGCACTAATTTTTAAAACACCCCAAACTACACTGAAAATAGATTTTTATTGTCTCCTTAATAACCCGTATTATGCATGCAGTGTATGAGTGCTATGTGAGCTGGCATGTGGCACCAGCAAGATCATCCGTCAGAACCTTAAAAAAATGAATCGATTAATAAGATAAAATGAAACTGTGTTCTGACGTGCCATCAGTGGGATGACCAGTTGGATTTTAAAACGAACAAACAAACAAATAAACAAATAAATAAATAAATAAATAAATAAATAAATAAATAAATAAATAAATAAATAAATAAAAACTGCTAAATAAAAAAATAACTGCACTCCCACTCCCACCCCCAACCCCCCATTTAAAAGACGAGGTTTGTTTGACATCCAAATGAGGTGTTTACTCCACTTTATTACAATCACTTTAGCTTGCTGAGGGTGATATTGTTTACAGTCATATTTTGCATTGATCATTTGAAAAGCCAAGAAGGTCAGGCAAACAATGTGTTTGAATGAGCTGCCTTGGCCTCCRTAGTGAGCTAATAACTACCTGAATGGGGTGCTATTTTTATTTTTCCTAAATGTCAGAGCTAGGTTGTGGTCAAAAAAACTAAGTCACATAAAATCGCACCAAAGTATTTATTACTTTTGACCTTTATTTGATAAAAGGAAAAACACACCCACCGTAATCTGCAGCTGCTTTAAGGCAAGGATTCAATATTTCGTCTGTTTAGTTGCCTTACAACCTGGAATTTAAACACGCTTTCAAATTGATTGTATACAATGGACATACACAAAATCCTTTAGGATTAATAAAGTTAAATGGGAAAAAMAACTTGTTTTATATAAGTCTAAAAATATGTATACATTCACCCCTTTACACTGAATCCCCTTCCAAAACCTTCAGAAGCCACATAATTAGTGAAATAAGATCCATCTGTTCTGATTGCCCCAGACACCTCTTAGCTCTGCAGGCTGCCACCAAGCAAGAGWCATGAAGACCAAGAAAATCTTTACCAAATCCTGTTCTTCTCCATRWYATGGAGAAGAACAGGATTTGGTTATAAAAACCGTCAAACACTTAACATCCCATGAAGCACCATAAAATCAATCGATCAATCAGTCAATCCATTTTTCGRCCACTTATCATTGGTTGAGTCACAGAGAAAACAAGTCCAGGAGGGAACCCCAGACATTCCTGCATTGTCCCCAGCAACACTCTCCAGCTCCTCCTCAGGAATCTCAAGGCACAAGGCCAGAAAAGATCCATAATCCCTCCAGCAAGCTCTTTGGAATGTGCCTGGAATCTTCAGAACAAAGAGCACAAACAGGCATCCTAATCAGATGCCTGCCTGAACTACGTTATCTGACTATTTTTGGTGGGTTAGATGAACATTAAATTTATTATTAGAAATGGAAACCAWATGCCACCACCGCAAACCTGCCAAAACATGATTATTCAACATATTTTACAGACCAGGGAAAGAGGAAATGAATCAGATGAGCACCCAAAAGGCCAAAGRTAACTCGGATAAAGTTGGGCACCTCTTTAACTCATTATCTGTCGATATGACCACCATGAAAATGGACACTACACAGAAGAGTGGCCAAGAAAATCATTAGTGTTAAAAATAAAGCAGTCTGTTTGGAAACGGCCAAAATGTATATCAAAATCTCCCTACACATATGCATACATGTAAACCTCTTTGGACGTTTACCTGTATAAAGAGCTCTAAAAATCAATAAATTTCGCAAAAAATCCGTACAACTCAAGTCCGCGGGGGAGGGGGGGTGGTCAGCTGCGGACATGAAAGCACCCGCTGCGAAGCAGGAGGAAAGGAGAGAGGAAAAAGTAACATTTCTAGTGGCAGAACAGGTTGGAAGATGGCCGTTTTATGTTATTTATTGTTTTTTAAATCATCCTATAGACTCTGACATGTTAGATAAATTTGAAAATGAGGTTTTTAAAATATCCGTAAGACTTGAAAAAATCCGTGAGATTGCTCTATACGTCCGTGTACCTGCAAAATGACGTAAAATCCTTATAACTTACGGACNTTTTATTTAACACTTGTGTTTTCACCTGATTTCAACCGTTATTGAACTCGTATTTCCTTACAGCATCATGCCATAAAAATATATATATTTTTCATCAGCAGGTACTGGAAAACTAATCAGAGTTGAAGGACAGGGAAATTTATGAGAGAAACTTGTTCAAGTCCTCTAGACTTTTGAGACTGGAATGGAGGTTCAACTTACAGCAGGTTTAAGGAGAAACAGTTAAATGTCCTGGGATGGCCCAGTCAAAGTTCAGATCATGATCCAAATGAAACTCTCAGGTATGATTTAAAGATCATTGCATAGAAGTGCTCCCCATCTTACTTGAAAAGACTGAAGCAATGTGGTCATACAATTGCACGAGGCTCATAGAACTCAACAGAAGAGACTTGCTGCTTTACTTTGAGTAGTAAATAATTACTCACGCACAATATTTCTGCTTTTTAGCTAATATTTGTTTGTTTGCCTATGGAAAAATACATTGCATGTTAATCTATTTTCAGTCATGTTGGGTCAAATGAAAGATATAAAACTCCCAAATTCCCTTTAAAATTTAAGTTGCAGCGTTGGGCATAATCGTATGGTGTGCAATTAATCGTCAGAAAAACATTAATCGATTACTTTTTGGCACTTGACGATCAATACGATTAATGCCACCAGGCAGAGTCCGCTTGCTGCTCCTCTCTGCTTCAAAATGATGAACATTAACAAAACGGTTCTATAATTTATTTATCTTTCAACACAATTTAAAATTTGATKTACAGCCTGAAGTCTGTAATTTTGACACCAATTGGAACAGATTTTTATGAAGAGCAAATTTTACCCACTAAATTGGTCATGTGACTAGGACATAAGGGGGTCCAGGGACTCCAGGGGATTAATCGTCAAATTAATTGTTATCGGCTAAATACCACAATTAATTGTGATTAGTTGCAGGGCATTAAAGCAGAGAGAACACCAAAGGCRTGAAAACTTTTTCAACCCAAGGTAATTACTATTTTTATGAAACTTTACATTGACTATTTATTTTTACAATAGACATCAAAGAGTGCAAACAGTCAATCAATACAGTTACGCATTGTTAGGCTTTTTTCATGAGATTTASGAAGGGAAACTTTATGAGACAATTTATTTGGCAGGATTTATGCAGGCATTTATCGGTTTCTGATGATAAACAGCAAACAACGTGAAAACAACTGGCAAAATGATCTCCCTCTYGTTTTAATTTGACTAAAACCTCTAAAACGTCTACTCGAGTTGCCTTCCCAACTGAACAATAACCTGTGAAGTGCCTGAGTGTTCGCAATAACTTGCTTAGAATCAGTAGGTGTTTATCGCTCCCATTTACTATCRCATTGTGCCACTAAAGCAAACGCTTGTCTTCAATTTGCTGCTTTGATGCAGTGATTCAGGTCGTATCCCTGTGAGGAGGGATCYATTGCACCATCAGATAACTAACACAATATAGATCAATTGATTGTCAGGCATGCTGTAAAAGACCATCCCTTCTGCCAAAAAGCATTCCCCTTATGACTTGATGACTCGAGAGCTAAGCCGCTTAGTGAACGGCGCCTCACACTGGATACAGAGCTTTTCAGACAATGTGCAACATCCTGGGCAGTTTACACTCTCCTAAACCTCTTAGTCATCAGTTGGTGCAGGTGTCAGGGGTGAAAAAYGCCTGGTTCACTAAAAGCTGTGCTATTAGAAGAAACAATCCAGTGAGAAGGCGCTAATGATGCCCCAGTGTTAATTGGTGTACAAAGAGGAAGCTCTGACCTCTCTGGGTGGCAATGACTGTGATGTTGTGCCAGTGCTCCCGCTCCCGGTCCAGCTCCATAGCTGTAGTGATGAGACCGGTGTCCGGGGTGATACGAAACAAAGCCTCCGGATCTGACTGGGGATCAATAGAGAATCTGAAGCAGAGAGAGCGGGATAAGAGGAAAAACATACTTGTGTTGACAGAAGGAAGGTGAGTGAAATGATGAAAGGGCACCAAAATAAATAAATAAATAAATAAATAATACGAAACCGAAGCTAAGAGGCAAGGAAGGGAGCCGGCGGAGATGGTGGTGGGGTGCAAAGTGAAAGAAGCAGACAGGGCAAGTGTGTGAAGGAGTGATAAGGAAGTTGGCATTCAGATGGCCAAAGAATTAATATGAGGAGATTATCACAGCAGATAGGAGCTCTTTTGAAGTGAAAAGGATTATCTAAATATCTCCATGAATATACTAACTATCATTCCTTCCCACACGCTCACTCCTAGTGCTTTWACTTTTAATTGGGACATAGCTTTTTGCAGCTGTTACGGACAAATCACTCGCCTTCCTCTTTGAACTTTTTCAGGACAAGATYGATAACAAAAACCAGCTAAAACAACTTGTGATTCCTGCCAGGCAAAAGGCAACGCAGTGTAAGTATTTAGTTGGGTTTGTTATTATGCCGTCTCTCTTATCAGCCAAAGGATGGAATTTGAACTTTAATTAAAAAATAGTGGTTCATTGGTTTTGCCTGGACAAACAAAACCAAGCAAATATACACATTTTTGAATTAACCAGTGTCATTCATTTCACATCTTTACAAGTAAAATGGATTTTTTTTAATAACCACCGTTGAGATACTGAATACTAAAAATCCAAAAAAATCTTGTGGTGTACCTGATATTATTGGTCAGACCAGTATCCGGGTCCACAGCGCTGACCCGGCCTACAGTGCAGGCTGGTGGGCAGTTCTCAGATACATCCATCAGGTATCGGGATCGGGAGAACCTCGGAGGCTCATCAGCATCCAGCACTGCTACTCGGATTGATGCTCTGTCTTTAAAGGGGCCTCGACGCAGGAAGCGGGGGTCCACTATGGGGTTGAGGACCTCCACAGAGAATGAATAGGAACTTCGACTCTCATAGTCGACCGCCTGGAAAGAACAAAAGAGGCACTTTGTTTTGATCCTGTCAGTAACAACAATCCAGTGTTGGAGTTTAACAGAATATGAGCTGTAAAGAACTGCATGCTGCGAAATGAGGCTCTGTGACACTTTTTTTAAATATGCAAATGTCACTTTTACAAACATCAAATCAGGGTTGGTATTTTCATTTTGGAATAACTCTCACACCAATTTTCCAGCAAATGAATGCTAAATTACAGATCAAAACGCTGTTAGAAGACACAATGAATTATTTCAGAGGATCAGAGAATGAGGACGATCGTATCAGAAAATCACCTCAAAACAATTTTCAGTGAATAGCATTGTGGTTACCTTCCATGCKGTGACATTTGGACTTCTAAAGTGACGCTCTGAAGGCTGTCAGAGGTGGCTGGGTGCTCAGATGGTGAATTTTCAGTGATGTGGAAGAAGGAATTTATGAGGGTCTGATATTACAGCATCGCCAAAGAGATTCCTGATGCTCACCCAGTTCTAAAGAATCTTCAGAAATCTGAGACTGAAGTGAGCACGTTTGTGTGTCGCTTTGAGCTGATGTTTGGATATTTTGACATGCAACAACCAGAATGTATGAAGGTGTAGACTTTGCTGAGTTGGTAGTATTTGCATGAATTACAAGATTTGGCTTTCCATTTCGGAGAAGAGAAGAGAAGAGAAGAGAAGAGAAGAGAAGAGAAGAGAAGAGAAGAGAAGAGAAGAGAAGAGAAGAGAAGAGTAAATTTATTCGTCTGATGCTATGGTTAACAGAAAATTGTCTGAAATCACATCACATACAGGGCAATAAAATAAATAAAACACATAAAGTACAACAAAAATACGCAAAAAAGTAATCTATAGTACATACATTGATACCACCTTTCATAATCAGTGTTTTCGAAAACCTTTGTTGTTCAGGGTTGTTTTAATTAATGATTTTTTTTTGTATATTACTTTTTTGGCCAGTGGGACTTTGTATCTCTTGCCTTATGGGAGGAGACTGAGTGAGTGATGGAGGGGATGAGAGAGGTCCTCTGTGATTAGAATGATCTGATCTGAGCACTCATACAAACGTGACATTGGAATTTTGTGATGAACCAACAATTTTGCTTTGCTTGCTAATTCTTTGTTATATTCAGTTTAAGTGATTTCTCAGCAAGAGTTGCGACCAGGTCAACGACAGCCAGTTGAAACTGAGAGGGCTACATGCAGCACAGGTTAATTTTTGTTTAATTGTAGCATTGTTTGGTTTTGCAATGTTGGCAAAAAACAAACAAACAAACAAACAAACAAACAAACAAACAAACAAACAAACAAAAAACAGAAAAGTGGGGATTGCTCTTTCTGGGTTGGGGGTGAAGTTCTGCCTCAGTTCAAGTACCTTGAGGTTTTGTTCATGAGTGAGGGAAGAATAGAGCGTGAGATTGATGGACAGATCAGTGCAGCTTCCACTGTTTTTCAGACTGTGTACTGGTTTGTTGTGGTGAAGAGGGAGCTGAGCTGTAAAGTGGCTCTGTTTACTGGTTGGTCTACGTTCCAACATTGAAAGAACAAACTTTTGGGTGAAGCAACATTTATATAATTATTCTTTTAAATTTTACAAAAAAAAAATTCAAAATCTCTAAACTACTAGAATTTATGTGTTCCTCTAATTTGTGTGTTCATTATTTGTTAACTTGTGTTAAACCGTTCAGCAGAAGTAACCATAAGTGAGAGTGGTAGGCCTAGTCATTAATAAGACCTGTGAGTTTCATTTTGTCTGTGTTGTTCATGAAGAAGAATCCAATAAAGGTTCTTCAAAACTGCCACCTGGTGGTGAAGTCTTGAACAACAACATGAGCTACACCTCTCTCTGTAGCTGTGAGGTGTTATGCTACAATATTGTGCTTGACGCATGTGCACTGTTATAAAGAGCTTGTAAGACTTACTAGAAAAAATCCTTGTAACAATTTGCACTAATGTTTGTTAAGTAAATGTAAATGCTACAAATTCATGTAATATTTACTCATTATCTATTAAAAGTTATTAAGAATATAGTTGAAGATTTGTGAAAAAATCAGGTAAATTTTACTTAATTTGATCAAGTATATGTTACAAAACTTAATTGAGCAAATTAAGTAAATTTACCTGATTTATTCACACATCTTTAACTATATTCTTAATAACTTTTACTAATGATGAGTAAATATTACATGAATTTGTAGCATTTACATTTACTTAACAAACGTGCAAATTGTTATGAGGATTTTTTTCAAGTAAGTCTCACAAGTAATTTTTTCAGTGTACAGTTGAGGTGGTTCGGGCATCTGGTAAGGATGCCTCTTGGGCGCTTCAGGCAAAAAAAAAAGAATGTGTTGGTGCGTACCTGGCAGATATAGAGTTCTGTTAAAATTTCAAAACTAGAGGCAGGAGCAGTTTTAGACCCTGAGGAAGATGATGGTGAAGGCTTTAGTGTTTGTGTGAAAATGTGACGCGGAGCAGAAGTTCACGTTTGGCAGCACCGTAAATTGTCTGCTGCGCAATTTTGACAGATCATTTCCATAAACATTAGACTTTCCAGTGATGAAAGCGAAAACAAAACCATTTTCCTATTTTTTTTAAAAACACTTCCAYGTTGAGAAGACCATCTCCATCTCCATGGAGACTTTGTGATCACCATGGAGACTTGTACCTGGCTATCAGCAGCATTAAACATTCCTTTGTATCCTTGCATCTACACAGGTGCAAGAGATTTCATTTGGGATAGAAGCTCAGGCTCCAGTGTTTTTCTTTTTTTAYATTTTCTTTTTTTTTCAGATACGTTATGAAGCCTGCTTGTCTGAGGTCTCTGTGTGATTGTGTGCCGCTCTCCTGCCAGCACGGCGGCTCTGAAGCGAAGAGATAGTCTCTGATCTGGTTCGTTGAGATGATTGTTAGCGAGGGCACAGACACACACGAGTAATCACAGACATCTACCATCTCACACTGACATACACCTGCTGTTGATTAAATTTTCGAACAGCAACATGTTTGATTCTGGTTCAGAATATCTGTTTGAGGTATGAGAGCGCATGTGTGTGTGGGCTTGTGCATTCAGGTACAAGTGGTTCTTTTGAGCCTGTGTGTCCTCAGATCCATCAGTTTGTGTGTTTTTTTTAAAGTAAGGATACATGTGAATCATCCTGGTGTGACTGGCACAGGAAATCATGTTGGACAGAGGAGAAATGGGCTCTTTGGTTATGCAGRATTGTTGCTGTCAAGAAAAGCAAAAAAAATCATCCAAATGTTCCCACCAGAAGACCATTGATATTCCCTTCTTCCGTTCTGATTTCTTTTTCCGCTCCTTCCCATTTTTTCTTCTCTCACTCAGAGCTGTATAAGATATAAGAAGTATGCACAGCTTTGCAGAAAGTCATCAGTTTTAGACAGAGATGCAGATTGATTTAAAATTATGCAGAGAAAAGGGCAAATTGAAAGACATCAAAATGCAGGCAATTTGGCAAATATCTCTGCAGAAAAAAATATAAACAAACAAGAAGAATTGCCACCGAGGACAGAGAGAGACAGAGATCRTGATCGAGTGTGCGAGCAGAAGAAGGGAGAAGATGGAAGGAAAATGTGCTTTAACGGGGTCCCCATTACAGGCAGAAAGAGACAATCTGTCTGAGGAGGAGAGGTGTCACTTACACTGTGAGCACACACTCATCAACCCCCTCCCTTTACCCCACTCCTCCATCACTCCTCAGCCCCTCCATCACCACCTCACACACTCCATCACTTATGCCACGACCAACCCTCTCAAACCTGTCTTCTGTCTTTTCCTCCCTGGGCTGTGTGCAGGGCACTGGCTCTAACAGACCCCAACACACACACTTCTATTGCCTCACACCCCCTTTTCAGGAAGAGGATCTCACACAGACATGACCTTGTGACACTGTGCAACTTCTGCACACCCATCCACATMCACATAATTTCCTTGTTTGCATATGGCTTTGTGGCGTGAACTTAAGCCATCACGTTGCAATTCCTTACCCATATTATATAATCTAACTCTAACCTAAAAACAAGTTTTAKCTTGAAAAAACAGTTTGTACCCAGGAGGCCTGTTATTTATCTGTAACATTTACAGGAAGTCCCAACATGCTGCTGCATTTTGGACCTTATTATGACTTATAAACAAACAGATGCAAGTAGGGGTCTCTGCAGAACRTGTTGTCCTGTGGGCGGAGACGGCCCAAATCRTCATTGGCCGAGGTCTTMAKGTRGGCAGAGACGTCCCTGCTCRTGATTGGCCGAGRTCTTGATGTGGGCGGAGATGGCCYAAGAGATGTGATTGGTCGGATTGACGGTGGGGTTTGAGGAGGYTGAAGGCAGCGAGGAGTCGAGTCGGGCAGGAAGCAACAAATATTTTTTGTTTAATTTTAGTCATAACTTGAGAAAGAAAAGTGCTAGCTGCACAAAATTTGAATGTCTTACATGTGAAAGGATGTGTAACAATATGGCTTGTTAAACACCCCTAACCAGCCTGGAAAAAAATATTGATTTTTAGCTATCTTTTTACAGGCTGGTTAGGGATGTTTTAACCAAGCCATATTGTAGAGCTACTCCCTGCCACCCCGCTGCCTCCAGCCTCCTCAAACCCCACCGTCAATCTGACCAATCCCATCTCTTGGGCCGTCTCCGCCCACATTGAAACCTCTGCCAATCACGTGTAGGGCCATCTCCGCCCACAGGACAAAACCTACTGCAGAGACCCCTTACTCAACAGATGTGCACCCCTACCACACCACACCTTGCACGCACACATGCAGGTTTGTATTTCTATCCTTATTAGGACCGTTCACTGACTCACATTCATTTCCAGTTGTTTCTACATCCCAGGGATAGTCGATCCTGGTCCTCGAGGTCCGCAGCCCTTTATGTTTTACTTTATTCCCTTCTCTAACACATCTGATTCAGTCAGTGAATTACCTCTTCCAAGTTCTGCAGAAGCCTGAAAATCATCCATTCATTCAAAT